TGAGAAAGCACTGAAGATCTTTCAATAGGAAAGGAGGTAATTAGATTTGTATTTGTACTATACATGTCAATTATGGCATGTGCCACATTCACAACCCCATATGATGGGAAACTAGTCTGCATACTGTCCCATACTTTTCACCATTATGATCCTGCCCCCACACCCATGTGTACCTATAAATATATAGTTAACACTAAATGGCCAGGAGTGGTCACATAATCCAAGTACACAGGCTTGTTAGCAATCAGTGAGAAAGCAGGTAAGCCAAAGAAATTGTTTCTTGAGAATTCAAATCTGAAAATCCTAAGAAGGAAGAGGAGTAACAGGAGCTGAAGTTAAAAGGAGAGTAGAGGCAAGATGTTGGCATAAGAGTCACAGTAGTTATAAGGAGCAGAAACTAGAAATAAACAGAAGGTATGAGATTGGGGGAAACTGGAGTAGAGAGAAAGAATAAAGTCAGAAAGAAAGAGTAGCTAAGATAGGTTAACAATGAAGCACTAGAGCGAAGTCTGTATTATGATTCCAGCTTTACTAGGTTCCTGTTCTTCTTGAGATCAAGTTGTTTAACTTTTTCTGGGTTCCCTTGTGCATATTTCCCTTCAATAAGCCCTTCATTACTTAAGGTAACTTGAGTCTCTTCCTTGCAATTGAAAGAGACTAACTAACTAAAAGAGCATTTTACAACACTCACCAAGCAGCAGTGGAGAGAATGAACTTGGAGGACATGACAAAACAAGAGGCAGAAGATGGACAGCAAGAACACTTAGAAAGCATTGCTGAAGCCTAACAGACATTTGAGGTTAAAACAAGGCAGAGACAACAAAAATGAGGAATGACCTGAAATACCATGAGGGGGGAATGGGTAAGACTCAGTGAAGAACTGGATGTTGGTGATGAGGTGCAGAGTGGAGGACAATTTCCACGTGTCTGAAGGCTTCATGAGGAGACAGTGGTGTCATCAATCAAGACAGGAAATCAGAGGAAGACAAAATTTTGTTGCAGTTTCTGCTCCCCTACCCCCACTGTTTTGGGGGAAAGAAAGGCAGAAGAGTTTTGTTTCATAAAAGTCTGGATTGAAATGCTTGTGAAATGTGAATCCAAGTGGAGATGTCCATTAGGAAGTGCTTTACAGAAGTCTAGAGCCAAGGCAAGAGCTTCTAGACTTAGGAATCAATACAGTAAGTTAATGTCATCGTTGTTTAAATGTCTGAAAAGTCTTTGACAAATATTGACTTCAAACTAAGTTAATATAACTAAAAATCATTCAAACTAAAAACCTTAATATTCTTGGCAAATCAGATTTTCAAACCTCTTGCACGTCTTTGCAAATATTAAAGAACGGACGGGCAACCCCTTTGGGTCCCCTGCTGCTGTGGGAGCTTTTCTGTCCTCTCAATAAATCCTGTTTTAAAAAAAAAAAAAAGACTAAACAACTTTCACATAGCATCCAAATGATTAGGAAAGATGAGATTATATATTACTAATTTCTACTGAGGTTGTACTTTTAAATACACACACACACACACATCTACATCATTTCCCTCATAAACTAAATATTATGAAATTAATTAAGGGAAAAAAACTGTTAAAAAGTGATATGTTAAACAGTGAATTTCACTGTTAATGTTTAAACTATAATAACAGGATTTTAAAAAATAGCTCAATTATGTAATTTATTAGTTTAGGCATCCAACTCTACCTGTACTCAAAATGTTAGGTTTTTCTGTCTTAAAACCTTTTCTCTTTTCATCTATATGATTTTTCCTCCAAAATCTATTACTACCAACCCAGAACTTGATACTGAGCTTCAGCCACAAATCCAGCTGCCTACTGACACCTACATCTGACAGAACTACAGTCACCCAAACTCAACACATCACAAACTGAACTCCTCTATCCCTCCTCCTTGTCAAAATAAAAATAAAATCCAACTCCTCCTTTATGCAAATCACCCCACTGAGAGGCACAAGCCAGAAACCTAGATTTTATCCTCTATGAATCCTCTCCCAAACCCCAAATCTAATCAAATTACCAAGTCCTGTCAACTGCCAATACCCAGGTTCAGAACCACTTAGCATCATTTGCCTGGATTACCCTTGGACACTCCTGTCTTTAGCCTTTTTCTACTCTTCAATCCACCCTAATCACTGCAGCCAGAACGACTTTTTAAAAATGCAAATCTGATCATTTCAGTCCCTGGCTTTAAAATCCTTCAATTATCTGATATAACCATCATCAAAGTTAGCCACACTAAGGAAGCTCAGGTTCAATGAGAAGTTCAATTATACACTTTTTATAGGTTCAACACAAAAAAATTATCAGAAAATTTTAAAATCACAAAAATATTTAAACATACATAAAGCAACTGATACACTGAAACAAAAAGCATGTAGCAGTTTGTAAAAGCAAAAAACTGAAAATAACCTCCAGTACACAAAAATGGAACATTATCCAGCCAGTAAATGAGGCACTTCTAAATGCATTTTTATTGAGTGATTTCTAGGATTTAGCATTATTAAGTGAAAACAACAAGCTATATACAGAGTGTACAGTTTGCAACTATTTGGGTATGGTGCCTTCAAAATAGAAATCCTTTCCAAAGTCAGAAGATTGCTTAAGGCCAGGAGTTTGAGACCAGCCTGGGCAACACAGCAAGATTCTGTCTCTACAAAAAATAGAAAAATTAGGTAGGTGTGGTGGCATGCACCTGTAGTCCCAGCTACTCAGGAGGCTGAGGCAGGAGAATTATTTGAGCCCAGGAGTTAGAGGCTGCAATGAGTCACTGTACTCCAGCCTGGGCAAAGAGCAAGAACCTGTATTTAAAGAAACTACATATTTGTATATTATATGTTTATGTATAGGCTCATATACGCTAGAAATATCACAAAAAGGATACCCATGAAGCTGGATAGTGGTTGCCTTTAAAGAGGGAAATTAGAGCCGGGCTCGGTGGCTCAGCCTATAATCCCACACCTTTGGGAGGCTGAGATGAGTGGACTGCCTGAGCCCGCGTGTTCGAGACCCGCCTGGGCAACTTGGCGAGATCTCATCTCTACAACAAATAAAAAATGAGCCGGACGTGGTAGCGCGCGCCTGTAATTCTGGCTACTCGGATGGCTGAGGCAGAAGGATCGCCCGAACCCAGTGGGTCAAGGTTGCGGTGGCCGGGAGCAGCCACTGCACTCCAGTCTGCTCGACGGAGTGAAACTCCAACTCAAAAAAAAAAAAAAAGAGGGAAATTAATGGTTGGAGGATAAAGGAGGAACAGAAACTTTTACTACATACTCTTCCAAACCTTTTGATTCTTATTATTACCTGTAATTTTAATATGATTTTCTCTCTCCTCTGTTACACACACACACAATAAAAATGTTTGAAGCAATGACTACAAAGACTTTTTTTTGGGGGGGGGAGTTGGAGTCTC